AGTGCTAACCAGTGCTACATTCAGTGTTCCAACATCACAGCTATTCACTGAAAAATTGGCAACATTGCAGATTAGGTAACAGTTCTGCCTTCAACCAACCTTAAGAATTCCAAAATTCGTGCCCTCTTGTTTCTTAATACATCTCTGATGTAGAAAATCAACTACTGAACGGTTAGCAACTGAGGCTGGCTACACTATATCTGAGGACCTTTTTTTTCCACCATATATACACAACAATGCTATGGAGTGAAATATAAACTATGTATGACATGTTCAGTCCATTCCCTGAAGGAAAAAGACAAAACGTTTAGTTTTCGTTGCTTGACACAGATGAAAAATCCCCAAATGTTATTATTAAGGACATTGTGGTGAAAATTCGCAGATTTTTTTCCTTCCTTCGGGAATGCAGTAGTAAAGATGCCTTGCCAAGTCTAGTTCGCAAAAAAACATTACATAGTACAAATGAACGCTACATTCAAATTCAATCCCCCCCAACCACTACACAGATCTACAAAACAGTCTACAAAATAAAAATTCAACACAGACGCCTCTCCAATTGCACAGACTCTCCTTGGAACGCACAAAATTTTAGAAACCGTCTACGTTATTTCATCTAAACTCAGGGAAAAAGTCAGCACAATGATACATTCAACCGAAGTCTCTACTAACTCCCTTGGATACTTAAGTGTGCGAGTCTTTTCTTCTCCATATACAAGAATAGGTACACAAAATCTAAGATAATAATCAGATATGACAGTAGGATTAAAACAGTGTGGGCTACTACATACATACACAGGGAGGCACATTGTTTTCTACATTCAAACTAATCATTACTTGTAATTGCCTTCACAAGCTGTAAACCTCAAGAAACCGTAAACTTTCTTCTGAATACTCTGCAAACGTACAAGAAAGAAAACTGTGTGGCATAACATCTTTGAAGACCAATTAAAAGTTTTGCATGAAGTTCTTGCTAATGTTATATTGGGTAAAAACAGTTTTGTTTCCACAATACATAGGTCTTTTTTTGCTGTGAACATATACAAGTTTGTGAGTTAACCTTCTTCCTGCTGCCTAACCCTCTCACCAACACAAACTTGGCACCAGAAGGCTACATCAGCAGGGAAAAGGTTAACAGAAGTGGAAACCAGTGGCAAACAGAAGGTTTTTTTTTGCTGTGAACCAATACCAGTTTGTAAGTTAACCTTCTCCCTGCTGCATAACCCTCTCACCAACACAAACTTGGCATCAGAAGGCTACATTGGCAAGGAAAAGGTTAACAGAAGTGGAAACTAGAAGAAAACAGAAGTTTTGGTTTGTCATGAGGCTTACAGACTGGGTAGGCAACAGGTCTGAATCGTGGACAAGACAGTGTGTGGCTTTATAACAAGGTAAGAAACAATGTTCCACTGGCCAGCAGACGGACATGCATGTCAGAATCCCTCAAAATCACTTCTTGGGTCTCCTGTTACTAAAGTGCAGCGTAGTTAGGTCACTTTTCAAAGTGGCTGTATTGGCTGATTTCTCATAACTTGGAGCGAAACTTGTCCTTTGCACAACTCGTGTTGGTCTTGCGAACTTCAAAACAAAAAGACTGGTAGAATTTTTTTGTCTTTTAAGAACAGTTGATTATGATAACAAGTTTTTACCTCCTTAACATTGCATCAACTTCATTGTAGACGGAACTGGAGAAACCAAAGTTGAAACAACCACTTCAAAAACTGACGTAACAGAGACAAAATCTGGCTGAGTTCAACTTAAACCTCCCCTCTGCTGCGGTGGCCTTTTTGGCACCAAATCTGTTTTGGTTACATACAGGGTTAGGCAGCAGGGAGAAGGTTAACACATCCACCCTTTCCTTGCTTAATGCCTTGGAAAACAGTGCGAAGAAAACAGCCAAAAATTAGTTGTTTTTTTTCTTCATTTCCCTGACAAAAAAGTTCTGGTACCCCACTAGACTGGGACGGCCAGCTCCACTTTTTTTCACTAGAACTGAGTGATAACTTCCCGTTGCCAAGGAAACATGTTACCATGGCAACAAACGCGTTTCCCCCGACAACGGTACCGGTAGTACGTTTTGTGAACTCGTGAAGGGACCTTGTGAGTGAGGAAACGTGGGTAGTAAGTTATTATAACAGCTTCAGACATGGTGGCAAGAATTCCTTACGATCGAACAATACTGAAAAGGTGGGCAGACCTACGATACGTAGAGTCTACCGTACGTAGCGTAGTGTTTTACTACTACTGTATAAGAGATGGCTGCAAGTCGTTGTTGTTGGTGTTGAACCTTCTGGCCAGTCGTTGTGTGTTGTGTTGTGTCCCCCCCTCCTCTCTCTATCAGTGAACACCCATCAGAAGTCGTGGAACTCTTTTGCACACTTTTCCGTTGCAGAAATGCGGAGAGGTTCCTCCTCGTAGTCGTCGAAGTTGCTGGAGTCTCCCGGGCCTTTACACTTGGGGATGAAGGGAGCCTCCACCTGCATGGACAAGGAAACACAAAAACCTTACAAGTTACGGCCAAAACGTCTTGCTTCCACTTCTGTGACTAGAAGGCACAGGAATGGAAAACAAGACTACACACGTTAAAATCTTTCAACTGAATCATTCAGGTCCAGATTTCTTAATCAGTAAAATCATACTTGCAAAATCTACAAATCTTCAAACAATCTTTCAACTGAATCAGGTCTAGATTTCTCAATCACTAAAATCTATTTCCAATTATTTACTAAAAATCTTTAAACAATTGTAATGCCTATACTGTACTACAATAGCAAGCAAATACTTTTGCAGATAAAGCTTTTTGAGATGTACTTCTACATGTAACTATTTCTAAAAATTAATGAAAATTCCCTTTACTTCATTGTATAACAATCTGGAAGAAAATTGTTTTAACATCATCACATATCATGATCATCCAAATGAGAGTCAAATCAAACGAAAGCTGGCAAAAGAGAAAGGGTACAAGTTGTTAATCACAGTGCAGAAGAAGAGGAGTTAAGAGGAAAGAACACGGCAAACAACAGACTTCAGCCTAGTTGTGATGTCTCCATACTGTGGATATACTTTGGGATGGAATGTGTCAAGGTGGTACTGTGGTTAGGGTTGTGGACTAAGTCTTAGAAATAGGATTTGAAGGTTCTGGGTTTCAATCCCAAACAGGCCTCAATGTTGTACCCATTTGTGGACTCATGGTTAGGGTTGTTGGCTCAGAATTAGGATCTGATGGTTCCGGGTTTGAATCCCTAGCTGGCCTCAATGTTGTACCCATTTGTGGACTCATGGTTAGGGTCGTTGACTCAGAATCAGAATCTGAAGGTTCTGGGTTTGAATCCCTAGCAGGCCCCAATGACTCAGAATCTGAAGGTTCTGGGTGTGAATCCCTAGCTGGCCTCAATGTTGTACCCATTTGTGGACTCATGGTTAGGGTTGTTGACTCAGAATTAGGATCTGATGGTTCTGGGTTTGAATCCCTAGCAGGCCATAATGTTTTAACTATGAGTAAGGCACATTGATGAAGGTTAGACATCCAGGTCAACAATATTTTACGGTAACTACAATTCAAACTCTGCTACTGGATAAAATACGGAGATTCCTTTAAGACATTTTGAGTGACATCCATCACTCTTCTCCAAATCAATTTACACCTATTTGCTTTTGAGTTTCCCACAACTGACCAAAAAATGCTCCAATTTTCTTATTGTAAACTTGCCATTCAATGGATATGACAGTAGCTTTCTTCCCGACCAAGTTTATCACTTTAACATGTAGTTGTCATGACTTTGTGATGTTCATGTGATGGTGGATGTGTAACATGTACAACAAAGATGGCAGTGCACACGGTGGGGTTAGGTAGTGGCAAAACTTTACACGAAGTGCATCAGCAGTAACGGCCATAATTAAACCACACAAACAAAACAACTCAAAAAAGGCAAAAAATCGACTGTATGTGTAAATCATTTCTAAACGGTGATTTTAAGGCGCAAAAGCAAAGAAGGGATTCTTATAAAAACGTGAGGAGGGTAGAAAAGGGTCCACGCAGAAGTTTAACGTAACCAAACCAGTGACAGCAGCGTTCAACTCACGTCGCACTGAAACCAAGAAGAGAAAACAGGGTATCAAGGGTGAATTAACAGAATTACGCCCACTACAGGTGATTTTTATAATAACCAACAGGACAAGGACAACTTAGGAGTTATAGAAACGCAGGGCTCGAAATTCCATGTTGTGGATAGGAGCACTGGTGCATGGAAAAATACGTTTTGTGCAGAAAAAGTTTACATGCGAAGAAAAAAAGTTTCCGTGCGTAGTAAAAAAAAGTTTTGTGTGCATGACATAGAATAAGGTAGAATGTCAGCAAAACTTGCCAATACAGTTTTGAAATCAGCTTTCAAAAATTGCAAAGAACCCAAATTCTACAGCTTCAATTTTTCAATTTCAAGATTGTCAAGGTAACACAACAAAGGTTTTACTATTTTTTTACACTTAGATGTCAAGAATATGCTGTATACTGCATACACAGCTTCAATTTTGGGCACACAAAAGTGCGTACACACTCAGGATTTCGAGCCCCGGTTTGGGAAAGTTCTAACAACTCATTTGGGGACTCAACAAACAGGGAATAAGATATAAAGACAAGGGAACCAAGAGTTCAATAAAGTGGGGAAAATATCAAAGAATCTATAATTAAAATGATCTTCAAATGTAGTGAAAATATCAAAGGCTCCCATCAAAGATATATTCATCATTCTTCATATTCGACTTGGTGAGGGCTTTTGTAATAAATGGAATAATACAATATGTGCAGACCACTTGTGTTCTGATTTTGTGATAAAATGTAGGTTATTGAAATCTTGTTTCCCTGTCATATGAAAGCCAACGTTCCTGGATACACCAAGGAGAATGGTAGAAAAGGGGGAGAAACTATTGATGCAAAAATAACTTTTAACGTTTTCATTTTTCAACTGTATATAGTAACCATTTCAACCACTAACTTCTCCCTATTCTATTTAAGTGCACGACTGTAAAACAAAATACTGGCCACTTTACATCCTTTATGTTTGAAGTTTGGGTTATACCAAGAATAAGGTTGAGAGAACTTGGAGATCAAGTTACATGTACTTCAACTGTCATGTATAACTCTGCTCCACATTCCAGATCATCACTTTGAAAAACACTGTTCAAAGTCCAAGTTGAGAGAGCAGAACTTGACTTCAGTTCCTTTAAGCTGGCATCACACAGTAGAAAAACAGCCCCTCCACGTCTGTTTTTGTCCATCAAAGCTAGCTCATAGGGACATTCTCTCAATCTGTGTATGATTTTTTAGGAATCAGCAACCAATGTTCTAAGCCCTGGCTAATGTGCTTGACTCTTGAGCAATTTTGAGAATTCTGGGGATCAACAAATTTGTCCAAAGAATGTTATCAGTGTGACACCAGCTTTAAGACAACCGGAGACGTCTCTAAGTGTCATTTCTGCTCACCTTCCGCTGGTAGACCAGGATCCAGTCCGTGGTCTGGAACCACTTGTGGTTCTTGATGTCGTTGACGGCGTTCTTCAGGTTTCCGTAGCGCTTGGTCAGGTCCACCTGCAGCAGGTTCCGCAGGAGGTCCTTCAGGTCCGAGCTGAAGTGGGACGGGAAGCGAACCTGGGAGAAAATAATGAAGAATTAATAAATGAAGACCTTAGTTATTTAATGTCCTCATTCAGGAGAGGTGTGCTCACATGTTGCTTCTGAGTCAAAAACTTAGTGCTCTGAAGTACAAGAAGCGAACCTGGGAAAAAGACAAGACCATTGTTACTGTAGACAGGGTTTGAATCCTAGCTTAGCAGTTCTGTAGTGAGAGAAGTGAACTTTGCAACAAGACAAACATATAAGCTAGATGGATAGGTTCAAATTCTAGCAGTCAGCAACAATAAGAGCAGAGAAAGCTGCAGCTGTAGACCAAGAAGCTCAAAATACACTAAACATCTGACTTGTACATAGCAGTGTTTGTTAATGGAATCTCATTCAATAGCATACAGCTATGCACTTTTGTTGGTCATTGTAATTAACTATAGGAACATTTTACAAGCTATACAGACATGTTTAGAGGCACCACTTTGAGAGGCAACTCCTGAAAATTGTAAAAAAAAAGACAACCGAAACACTGACCTTCCCTGAAACAATCTTCTCGTAGATCTGGATGGGCTGGTCAGCAAAGAAGGGCGGGTAGCCGGCCGCCATCTCATACACCAGCACACCCAGCGCCCACCAGTCTACTGCCTTGTTGTAGCCCTGTGGAGGGGAAAAAGACAAGCAAGTATTGAGTATTGTCAAACACGAGGCTTAGGGCTGAGTCAAAACCCGGTGCCCACCAGTCTACTGCCCTGTTATAGCCCTGGAGTAGGAATAAAGACATTCAAGTATTGTCAAACACAAGGTTTGCAGTTTAATCAAAACCTCGCTTAAAGTGGTGTTTTCAATGGCAGTCAAACTGGCAAAGAATTACTGAACAGAACTGTACTGATTTATGCTTTTTAGGGCTTTGTCACAACGTTGCTTAAAAGCTGTGTGGCTGTTTTCAATGCTAGTCAAACATTCAAGATAAGACTTGGGCAAAGAATAATTACACAACTGTACTGATTCATGTTTTCCTTTTGTCTTTCTGCTTATAACTTACACAGAAAGTTTATTTTACCTGTGTGTCATTAATTATGATCTCCAATAGAGATCTACATCATCACTATTCCTATGGAGTACAAACAAACAAACAAATAAACGCACCTTGCTGAGGATAATCTCTGGGGCAAGGTACTCAGGTGTCCCACACAGTGTCCACGTTCTGCCCTTCACCCGCTTTGCAAACCCAAAATCTGTCACCTGGGACAACAAAAAAACACAATCCAATCAATCCCACATCCACAAGTTACCCACATCTAACAAATGGGTTCTTGGATGTAAAAAAGATGCTGGAGTAAGGCCTAGGAAAAGCTAATCGACAATTTCAAGCTCCATGATCTGACACTGTACAACGTTTCATCACTGTCTTGTTTCCCAGCAACATTAAAAATAGAAGTGTTCTCATGTAAGTTTCACTATGCTAAACTGTACTGTATAAGTTTGATCACTAGAGATTGTTTAAGTCTAAGAAAAAAAAAAGAAAAAAGATAATCCCTACCTACCGATCCTAATTTTTTCAGGAAGGAAACAGGAAAAATGGCATTTTTTTTTCCTATTAGTATTATCCACATCTAACAAGTTGGTTCTTGGATGTAAAAAAAGAAATGCTGGGGTAGAAAATTAACATAAAAATAGTCTGAGGGGAAGTCTGTATGTTGATGTATTTTGGGATAGTGAATATAGTCTGATAAATTGCTGTATGTGATATCTTCATGTATTCAGTCAAGCTAGATTAATACCCATCATAAATATACTAGTCAATCAATCATGACCCAATGACATTTTAAACTGCTCTAAATTACAGCTAAGACAATGATGTACTGCATTGTACTAAGCAACAAAGTAATACACCCGATACTATATGAATGTGATTTTGAATATATCTGGTACAAATGTACATGTGTATGTCTCAGACTTAATTCCAGGGTCCCCAAAAGAAACATACCTACACTGGTTGAAAGACAGCATAGGGGCCTAAATCACAGTATAGGGGTTTAAATCACTGCATAGGGGCCCATCTGTGCACTGAGTGACTCTGTTTCATGTCAGAGACATTGGGCAATTCTTGGACCTCTTACAAGTCAGGACGTGTCCTTGTGTTCTAACCAGATGCCCTTTAGCACCTTGACCTTGAAGTTGTCCTACCTTGAGGTAGCCCAGCTGGTCTATGAGTAAGTTCTCTGGCTTCAAGTCCCTGTAGATGATGTCCAAGGAATGCAGGTACTCAAACGTCAGCACGATCTGGGCTGCATAGAACCTGGAGTGCTGCTCACTGTACATGGGCATACAACAAACAAGGTTTAGTCAATACATTGATGAAGGTAAGACATTAAGGTAAACAATACCAAAAAAGAAGAGAGGCTACACAATTTAGCAACACTGAAGAGCGATGGATGTCACTCGAAACTTCCGGAAGTAATCTCCGTAATTTATCCAGTAATAGAGTTTAAATTTTTTATAGTATGAGGTTTTGTTAAAGTTAGATTATAGTTTGGTAAAGTTGTGGAAATGGGTGTCATTTTCCGATAGACAATTCTTTAAGTTTAAGTGAAAAAATGTATACTATTTCACAGAATACAATATAAGAACCCACTAGTTGCACACACAATTAAGTATTCGTGCTCTGGCAAACCAAAACACAAAACACTGTATGACAATTATCCCTTCATAGCTTCTTCAGTTACACTGTGTGGGCTAGAATAAGCATTTTTAAGTCCAATAAACTTAGACCAGACCTGAATCTTCCTATCCGTCGTAAATGGGAGAACATCTCTCCACCCGGTACATACTCCAGCACCATGTAGAGATTCGAGTTGTCCTGAAGCATGGAAGGATCTCAAGGTTACGATTCAGCAATAATATTACAGCACACACACAAACGAACTCTGTGATACGTAAAGTCTTAACAGTACTTTCAAATATTATCAAAGATACAGTAAAAACAAAATCTTAACATGAACATTAAATGTGTCCTGGGAAATTCAGCTGTCTTGTTACAAGAAAAGGCTATGATTCTGTCACGATCAGTCTTCTTGAAAATTCTTTGGCATTAAAATCACAGGACAAGCTACAATGTACCACGAATGTAACCACTTTATCAAGTGACACTGACCATTGCATGGGTACAATGCTATTATGGGTAAGAATCTAAGGTAATTTACTTGACTTCTCCCACAGGATATAAGTGTACACAACTCACCTTGAAGTGGAACTCTAAGCTAACATGATAGGGTGTATTATGCCTAAAGGTAGTTTACTGGTTATGTGAAAGAACTTCAAACAAACAAGACTCACCTTGAAGTGGAACTCTAAGCTAACAAGGAAGGGGAAGCTAATGGCCTGCAGGATGCGCTTCTCATTCAGCGTGTGCTCAACCTGCTTCAATTTTACAACCTGGAAACAAACAACAACAACAACACGTTAACATTCAGCGTGTGCTCAACCTGCTTCAATTTTACAACCTGGAAACAAACAACAACAAATATGTAAAACAACCATTTGTGCAAATCTTACCTTACAGCAACACCCAGAACTGTTTTGTTTTAAAATTCTCACTGTTGTGTATTCTGGTTTCATCCAGAGAAAGGATTTGTATGCTTCATAATCAATTCTATAATTTCTCACATTTTTGCAAAGTGGAGTGTGTTATGCATGTACTCTTGTATCATAAGGTATCCACACTTCACATTTTCAAATCATAATCAGAGTTAGACACACAGAAGTGGCAAGTTGTTCAATGTAGAGTACATTTTTGTAACATTCTGCATGTGCCTGCAAAATTGTTTCTATCGTACGGTTGCAGAGTTAAAGGGGCTAACAAATCGTGTTTCTTTTTCAAAATGTTGGGTATTGCAAACTTCAATTCGTTATCTTTATCAAACCCAAACTAAATCATAAATGTTACCTTCTGTTTGTCAAGTATCTTCATGGCGTAGAAGTTTTGCGTGGCTTTATGCTGCACCAACATGACTCGGCCAAACGACCCGGTTCCCAGCGTCTTCAGACGGTCAAATTCATCCAGCGACGCTGTGTTCTACAGGACAGAAAATAAAAACATTGGTGGCAAAACATCATAACATCACACTTCAAAGAATCCATGTGACAAGCCTCACTGGGTCAGTCTACTGAGGAAGACCAGAGTGACTGGTCAAAAGCTCTAGGTGAGAGAACTTCTTTGTGTTGGCTCTAAAGTTTTAACCTTAAACATGTAACTAACTACCAACACGGACGAACTTTCGTGATAGGTAAGTCTTACTGCTTGTTTTGTTTGTTTCCTATGACTGGTAACAACATAAAATAAAGTAGAATGTCAGTGAAATCATCATTTATCAAGTCTTTCAGTTCATACAGCTAGTTTTGTTTGTTTCAAATTCATCGAGCGATGCTGTGTTCTACAGGGCAGGAAATAAAAACATCAGGGGGCAAACATAGTAAATAAAGTTTTACAGTAGTTACAGCTTGTTTTGTTTGTTTCCCATGACAAGTGAACAACATAAGATACAGTAGAACTTGATACCATAACTGGTTTACAAAATATGACAAGGGGAAACCTGCCCTAACAGTTTCTAGCTTCGATTAACACTGACAAATACACAAATAAAACATGTTTTTAAAATATTGATAGCGATAATGATATTAAACGTCTGGTGGCCAGACCATAATCAGCTGTATTTCTCATTTGTCTGGAAAATGTCTCACCTCGATATGATATTTTGGGCTGACACTTTACGTACATGATTATCTTTTTTTTTTCAAAACAGTAATCTTTTCTGGATTATTTGAAAGAATATGTTATTTATGAGTATCAACAAGGCCATGTCTGCTTGTGTTTGACACCCCTTTCTAACAAATCAAGGAAAAAAAGACTGGCAGAAGATTTTTAAGGACATTTAAGGTCAGTTTAGTTTAGATTAGTCTGTTGACAATGGAAACCTTGGCGAACATTGTACAATATCCTCCATAGTAATCAATTTGTCTCCAAGGCCCAATATGAATGATTGTCCCACATGTTGAAGGTCTGTAATAAAAACTGGCATCTTAATGTAGAGTATTTTTTCAGTGAGCAGTTGTAAATACAGCTTAATCTAAAATTTCCTTATCTTGTTTTTCTCCAAAACTTGAAAGGGACAGAGCCCTACTTTTGGGTACACAAAAATCACTGCAGTCAGCAGTTATAAATACTGCTTAATCTAATGTTTCCTTATTGTATTTTTCTTTCCCGAACTTGAAAGCGGCACATGCGTTTATTCACGTACACCTGGCTTGTAAAAAAAGCCCTCCAGGACCCTTTACGCTCCTTCTGTTGTCCTTATCATTGTTACCTATTGTCAAGAAAAAGCACCCTCAAGTGGTGTGATCAAGCCATGACATCATTGATGACATCATTAACCATTCAGCCAATCACAGCAAGCCGTCAGGTGGTTACCAAAGGTCATTTGATAGGAGTTACCCAAGGTTAAGTATCTGGGCCCAGATCGGATTACGTTGCCTTTTGTCTCTAACAATAGGGTGGTTAGTGGGAATAACACCTACTACGTCAACAATGTCGTAGGCACACAGAAAAACACACAGAGCGAACGACAAGCTACAGTTTGAACAGGAAGTCTATGTTACAATCATTACATCACAAAGCACAAACATATCCTTTCCAGGTGTCGGAATAACTTCCTCTATATTCAAACTGCTTAACTGTTTGAAAACAAAAACATTAACTAGCTTTTTTAGGGGTAACAACTAACCACTATTATATGAACATGAACTACAGATTTGAACAATTGTATCCTGGATCAAAATTGTAAACAAAAGTATTACTTACCCAGGGCTCAAAATACTGGGTGCATGTGCACCTTAGTGCATCCAAATTTGGACCTGTGTACCCAATATTTTTCTGAGGGTGCACCTGTGCACCCAAATATTTTCGTAGGTTTACGTGTGTAAAGATGTTATGTATAGTGGTATACAGCATATTCTTAATATCCAAGGTTCAAAAACATAATAAAATCATTGTTGTAGTACATTATTTAGAAATGAAACATAATCAGTTGTTGCCGACATTCTACTTATAAGGTGCAACCCAAAAAATTTTTGTGCACCCAAATTTTTAGGTTGGGTTCATTTTTACCCAAAATGAATCTTGAGCCTGATGCTTACCTGTGATGGACTCTCCCATTTCTTCGTGAAGTCTTCTTTGGCTTTTGCAAGAAACTCTTTCACTGTGGGACACAAAAGAAAAACACACATTTATTGCGATGCCAAAACTTCTTTTGGACAAGGTCTTTCATTTCTGAGACATTATTCAGCAGTAATAGTAAGTGACAGTCATGCAAATGCAAGTAGAGAATTCACCTCTGCAAGCAAGTTGCAAATACAAGATGGTACAGAGCTGGAGAAGGAAGGAGCTCAAATATTATATAATAAATGACAATAGGAAGGCTTTTAATCTTAAAGGTACAGTACTGTATTAAAACTCATAGTACAAAAGTCATAAGGAATTGTGACTTGTAGCCATTGCATTCAAATTATCAGATTCTTTACCTTTCATTTTCATATAGATCGACATATCAATCGATCAATCAATCATCTATTTGATAACAAATCACTATTATCGTGAGCCATGTTAGCTTGACACAAGTTAAAGCTGATTATGAATTGCAGCACTTTTTATACAAATGATGTACATGTAGATTGAAAATGTTGCTTGTCCATTTGGTTGTAATATGATTTTACGAATGTGCACAAGATTTGAAATGTTTCAAAAGCACTTCTTATGTCTTTTGAGAACGAAATATCGTACAAATTCATGTTAACAACAAAAGATTTGTTACAAAGTGTCACCACTTCTAGATGTGTCTAACTCTAAGAGCAAGTATATTTTTTTCAGGTGCTAAAACAAAACAATCCTGTGCACGAGTATTGTTGTTTGTGACAAAATGTGATGAATGAATGCGAAGATGACGAACGTAAAGTAAAAACTTGCTGAACAGTGCCTGAAAGGGAAGGGGGGTTTTGCGGGGACACAGAAGCGCGGGGGGTAACATCATGCCCATGGAAAAAGCTCTACAGTAGAGGGTTAAACAGCACAGCAAGGTACAGTAGCCCTACACTTGGAGAAAAAATGTGTGCGCAGTAGTACAAATGTATGTACCGTTAAAATGTAGTATAGTACCAACAATTTGCATGGATTACGATACAATTATATGGTATATTCGGCTCTTTGGTTGTTTTTTTTTAGTGCATTTGGAAAATAAACACATACTAACCACTGTCAGAGTATGAGCCATCCCCATGGCCTGTATAGGGCAATAGAACATGTGGTGGCTAAGTTTGCAGAAACACCATGTTGAAAATCCAGGGCTCGAAATACTGGGTGCATGTGCACCTTACAAATTAGTGGAGCTGTGTGTGCACCCAATTTTCTTTTCTGTGGGTGCACCAGTGCACCCAAATGTTTTCATAGGTTTACATATATGTAGAGATGTTAAATGTAGTATACAGCATATTCTTATTAACATCTAAGTGTCAGAAAAATAATATGTTACAGTACTTTTCTTTAGAAAGAAAACAATTAGTTTTTGCTGACATTCTACTATTTTATCTGACATGGTGCACCCAAAAACATTTTTGTGCACCCAATTTTTTAGGTTGGGTGCACCAGTGCACCTATTCCCAAAAATGAATTTCGAGCCCTGAAATCTAACCATACAATACTTTACTGTTATATAAGTATAACATTGTTTATTCCCCATAATTGTATGGGGCAAAAAAAGCACAACTTGTTTACATGGAGATGCTGTCTAAAATATTAGTTACTAAATGCATGCATATAGCTGTTGATGTACCTATACTAGAGACCTAAGCACTAGTAAACTACATGGTTTGGGGACCAACCAAAACGTGCGTGGGGGGAGGGACGGACAAAATGGACACAGAAAATGGGATGGAAAGTATGATGGCAAAGCCTGGGTTTCGTAAAACTCTCGACTACCGTCAGGAAAATCTTACTAGAAAACGTAAAGATATTATCATTATAATAATTGTCACTTGTGTTGTGATTATGGTTATAAGTTACTAAAACAAGAAAACAGGGATCAAGGCTAGGCTAGGGCTTCCGTCGTTAAATGGCATGGTTTAAAAGAAATAATACGACAACAAATACAGCAGTGATCTTGACAAAGAGTTAGTAAACGTACAGTCAAAAAGTCCAATTCTTTGTGTTGGCAATTACAGTTTAAACTTATGCCATGATGACGTCTTTCAACACAACTTTCAAGATAAAATAGTTAACTCAAAGTACAGTCAAACCTGTACTAGTGACCATCTGTGTATAAGATTAAGAACCACCTGGCCGTTGTGACCACTTTTTGGTGGTCCCTTTCCATTGACCATAGTATGACCAGCTTTCCCTCTAGTGACCACTTTTGCTAATCCTGTTGAGTGGTCCCTATACACAAGTTTGACTGTACGTGTTGTAAGAGACTGCACACTTAGAAGCCATCAGACTGTAAACAATCAGTTTCCAATCATCATTGTCTGCCTGTGCTTTCCAAATGGCTGGGCACCATCTTGGATATGTGGGTGGGTTTGATTTTGAACAACGTAGCCTGGATGCCAGACCCATAGCACGCTAGGCTCAGAGTTAGCCAGGATCTAGCTGAAGGGGATTGTGGTATAATTTCTTTGAGTAGAGGGCACGTTGGCTAGCCCTGGACCTGAGAAACTGGCCTGTGTTGGCCCTGGAAAACAGTGAAACAGTCTGGCACCCAGGCTATGGAACAGGGGGCTGTGGTATAATTTCCTTGGGGGCATGTTGGCCCTGGAGCCGAGGATCTGGCCTGTGTAGGCCCTGGAAACAGTCTGGCACCCAGGCTAAGGAACAGGGAAGGGGGTGGGGGATAAAGGCATTCCTACCCATGATGCAATCAGGGGGAAAGGTGGTTGGGCCTTGCTAATTTGCATATTTTGGTACGCCCAGATTTTTTTTACGTGCAAATACTTCACGGGCAAATTACCCACACGCAAAAGACCACGTCACTGACCACTAAATATCCATTCAACCTTGCCAGACAAGCCTAAAGCATGTTGCGGCATTACGTGCAGGGCTGGAAATACTGGGTGCATATGCACCTTAGTGCTAGTGCAGGTAAAATTTGAGCTCAGTGCAGGTACATGTATTTCTGATGTCTACCTGCACCTAACCTGCACTGGTCCATGTATTGGGTATATGCAGGTTTGTGCAGGTATTTCTGATGTCTACCTGCACCTAACCTGCACTGGTCCTTGTACTTTCAAGCACTGACAAGTACATGTATACTGGGGGACGTTACATTGGAGGTCAGATACTGTACTCTGTAGTATAGACACAATTTTCTGGGTGGTGGACTTACAAAAAAACGTGTGTGACCTGGCGTGTAGACGTTACACCACTAGAAGTCAATGCCCTGGGTTAGGATACGTGACAAAGTGGTTGACAAATGCCAGAGTTGGCAGTTTCATGGCAGGAGTTGTTTGCCATACCGATGTTGCTCTTGTGTGTTTATGTCAGGGTGGTTGCTCTAGTACTTTTCCCATATCAGTGGTCAATGACCCGAAAGTGTAAAGGCATAATACATGCTTCGAAGCCCAATAAAACACAAGTCTAAGTAGCTTTCGAGCTGCCCTAGCAGTTATTTTAAAACATTATAGTGAAATATTGCCTATAATATAGTCACTTAAATCACACCGGTTAACTATGTGGTCATTCAAGCTAATAATGTTAAATTTTCACTATCAATATGTCAGTCTGTTTATATTGATATAATATAAATCCACACTCATCCTTTTTACTTTCTTCTTACCTCTAGAAATTATGCCTTTGGCTAGAATGCAAAAATGATAAAATAAATAAAAACAGTGAAAAGTAATAAAAAAAATTTCTCTGTGGTTGAAGTTACCCTTAATTTTGCTGGCCAAGAAACAAAAATTTTTAAGTAAAAAAAAAAGATTTCACATGGAAAACTCTCTATACAATTCCTACAAAAACACAAAAAAAACTGAAAAAAAAAAGATTCCAAAGCGTTACGTTAGGTTGGAAGAAAATGGCAAACAAAGAAAAATATATAAAAGCCAAGTAATATGTATGTAGGAGGTTCAAAAAGTCATGGGTGCCCACCTTTTAAGTAAATAAATACTCTATTGTACTGCCCACCTACATGTTTGCACCCAAACAATAGCCTAATACACATGTTTTCAAAACAAATCCATTAAGACAATTCGACATCAGAAATTCCAACAAATATGTCACGAACATGTGTTTGGACTTCACTGAATAATGGGTTAAAGATACAAACACGAATCAACAAAAGAGCCTGATTGGGACAAAGCACTGTGTTTTTTTTCTACAACAAGTACTTGGTTCTTTGGTAAGGACGCTTTGTAGTATCAGTGAAATGTAATAGCCTTTTGAACATACCAGAATTGGTACTGTAAAACCTTCTAAGTTTGCAGAGGACTTAATTTTGCATTAGGATAGAAAAGGAAACATTCTCAGAGTTAAAAATGTGTCAAGTAACAACTGTAATAAAGTGATATAACTCTGTAAAACAATAGGCATTTTCATAGTGAAATTTTTTAGTTCGAATTGTAATCATAAGGCCGGTGCAATTATTATACCATATACAGTACAATACAGCTGGGACGTAGCTTTGTCACGAACACATCAAAACAAGGGAAAAGCTCTATGTGGTTTTCTCAAGGGAAAACCTTCTGACGTCATTCCAGCTACGTAACATATCTCCAAAGATACAAAACAACCTTTAAGGTAGCTCATCTTCAGTAGCTCTTTCATCGTTTGTAAACATAAAAGCATGTTCTATTCAGGTCATTGGAGAGACAAAACCTCTTCAGAATAAACGGGCTCTTAAATTTCAGACGACCTTCTTGGCGGGAGAGTTTCGAGTGATACTTAAAGGTGTAAACATGGTTCAAGGTCAAGGTATTTTAATCTAACTTAATTTTAGTAGCTTAAACTGATAAAGTGCCAGCTATCTATAGCTTTCTACTAATCTAATGTCTATATGTACGTGTTCAAATCTGTACATAAAAAACAAATCTATCTTTATGTACATTTGTGCACCATAGCATCAACATTTGATATGTTGCATGGCTATATATGCATGCAAGGCACATTCATGATGAAAAATATAAGTGCGTACAACCATACAAATGTAGTGTAGTAATGTGAAGGTGCCTAAATTTCTAACACACATTTTATTGCCCTAAAAATGTACCAAAGACAGGTACTAAGTTCCATGGCAAAAATACCTCAATTTCTTGCAAACTAAATGTAAACCATTCTCAGGACAACAAATATGCTTGAGAAAAACAAGACATTCTAGTAAGTTATTGCTCTAATCTGGATCGCAAAACCAGTTGTTCAAATGCCAGAACAAATAAAATGCATGTTAAAATATTTGCCTTTCTGACTGATAACTGGCAGGCCAGAGGCCATGCACAATTGGCAAATACTTGGAAACAATCTCTGTTTGTACCCACTGAATACAACCCCACCCTGGGCAAACTTTGCCTGAACGAACGACAAGAAGAGACTACTGCAACACGGCATGATTTTGATCCCACATTACACAAGATCAGGGCTCTCCCAAAGCAATGGAGCAAGGGTGCTCCCCCTCTCCCCAAAATCCTAGAACCTCTCCCAAAATGTTCAAATTTAGGGTTTTCTCTTAGTATTTACATGAAATTTGCAGATGTTCATCAACAATCTCAGGGAACGCCTCTTCACTCATAATTTATGGGGAGACCCTTGCAAGATACGTAGAGTTACTCCATGTCAAAATTCGAACCCGACTTCTTCTCATATACAAGATGAATGGATTCACAGAGCCTTCTTCTAAAGAGTATTCTGACATTTGAGGGGAAAACGAAGGTCTGTAGTGCCCTGGAGCAGTGTAACAGCCTGACAACATGGCTACAATTACAGCTTTGGACTAGAAAGACTCGCTTTTCTACTTGTTCTATGAAAGAGTTCTCTGATATTCGATGGTCCGACAAATGTTCACTCAGATTATATACCAAGGTTGCACATTTGTTTTTCTCTTAAAAAATACAGGTTTAGACCAAAATCAGTCTGTGCCCAAAATAAGTAATTCCTAAGCCTTGGCAACAGTCTGCACTGTGCAATTTATCACTAAGTACCTCATCAACGCATAAGACCCTCAAAATACTTTCTCGTCCAATTTGTGATCCAGTAGCCCCAGGCTCATCTCTTACTCAAAAACTAAAAACAAAGGACGATCACAGTCAATATTTATTGAGAAATTTGGTGGAAGAGAATTTTGCACAACAAATACAAATGTAGCTCTCTGCTTTTCTGGAAGGTTCTAGAACTTATTACAAGATGCAAGTTATGTTTCTATTGACATATATTGCTAAAATGTTTGTCAGCCAAGCCAAGACAAGAATTGCCACTGTAACTGTGTGTATGAGGAAGTTTGTAGAACATAAGAGAATGGCAGTGGTGTTCGTAAGAAACCTGAGATTGGGTAGATAGAAAAGCAGACTGCCCCCCTCCCTCTTTGTTCTGCAATGCTGTGAATATTTTCTCTTTCAACCAAAGAAGTTGCATGATTTTCAGACAAGGTTGTTGTTTCTACATTATATATGCTTCTGGAAGGCAAATCATTTTTCTTAATTGTATTATGATCAATACATGATAAAAACTACAAATGTAAAATGTATCATTTAGCATGAGGAAAGTTTGACACTGCAAACCCAAAAGCAGAGAGCTCGAGGATATGAATTTGCATTGAAGGTTTGAAAGACCAACATCCTACCAACCTTCCTTGCCTATAGGCAGGCTGTTGCACAATATAATTACACAGCACATTTGCATACAGCAACCACTACAATTACAACCCAATATCACAACTACATTTTGTACCTTTTACATGATCAGATGATGCCTACGGAAGTCCAAAACATTCTTTGCACTATTGTGCTTCGTGGTGGATTGAAACTACATTTTTACGGTACAGATAAAGCTACAGAAATGCATGATGATGTGCCAAAACAAAAATGGTGAATAAGCAAAATGCTACCGCAATTGTGCAAAGTAAAAAAAAAAAGAAAAAAGATGCACAGCTTGCAGTGGCAAAAGAATTCACCAGTTTCCCATCCCCAGAATGCATTGCGAAAACAGGAAGGCATCGAAATGACCCTGTTGATATTAAAGTTTAAACAACTTGCTTTTCAGTGTCTTTTGGCATTTTATGCTCAACGTTAACTAAATTACTATGGGTTGAATCTGACAACAAATAGAGAATGAATTTTTTTGAACATGTGGTTTATAACGTTATGGTGGTAACGCTATACTGATGCTGTAACGTTACAAACCACATGTTCTATCTTGAAAAGAACACAAAAACTTCATTCTCTATTTGGTGTCAGATTCGACCCATATAAATTTACTTAATGTTGAGCATAAAATGCCCCAACACCTCAAAACACACAGAAAAACAGCCGTTTAATGTCACCAGGATCATTCCGATGCCTTCAATGAGGTTTAGACCCCTGTTTTCGCAATTTTTTTGTATTCTGTTGGATAGGAAACTGGTGAATGAAAAGAAAGGCAAGTTAAAAATGGTCACACTCACATGCAGTGGCTGGTCACATTGGGAATCAATGAGGCAGACATGTCAGGAAAACAAGATTATTAGAAGATAGAAATGAATGGAAACATATTATTATCAACCTGACATATATCGTTTCATAAATTATACCTATAATATACATTATAAATTAACTTATAAATAATTAAGACATATCACTATATATGAATGAATATAATTACAATTTCATTACTTAATCATCATTACAAAAAATGCAAATTAACTGAAATGACTTCTTTTCAAGTAAAAATACATGTCTGAATGATTTCTGTTTCCAATAACTACAAAATTGAAACACAAAATGACAGCCACGTTTTGCACTAGAATATTTACAAAAAGAAGATTTGTAAATTATATGATTTACAGTTTGTTAAGTATAAACCATAACAAGACCCAGCATAACTGAGTCATCACACATACCATTTATAAATTGTTGAATAAATAGAAAGATCATTTATAACAATGATACTTTAATGTCTGGACAACGTCATGTATCATTTTACTTCATCTGTTTCCAAAAGCCTGGCAATGAGTGATTACGCTGACGTATTAATGCATGCGTCTGACATTATCTAATACGTGAGCCCTTCTGTTGAATTGGCACGACCACAAAAACACCTGTCAGAGCGAGAGAACTCAGTTGATCCCATCACCTAGGTAACCACATCCTCCCAGCTGCCAACCCTGGGGCCTGGGAAAAACAACGTTGTGTTTCCTGTTTCACGACCGAGTCGGACCGACCCTAGAAAAAACTTCCAACCCTAAGCTTCCAGGGGTCTCCCCAGAAATTTTTAGAGGAGGTACTCTCTGATAAGTTGATGTCGCAAAAAAAAAAAAAATCAGCGAATTTTCATAAAATACTAAGAGAAAACCCTAGTAAATTTGAACATTTTGGTGCTAGGATTTGGGGGAGAGGGGGAGCACCCTTGCTTCATTGCTTGGGGAGAGCCCTGGCTTCTTTTTGGGTGAACCCCTGCAAGGGATATAAATTTTTCGAGCTCACTTTTTCTGTAGCTCTACGATCTGACACTTGAGTGAAGAAACGTTGTACGATTGGTCTTCCAACATTGATATAGAAAATAATAGCATTGTTAAAGTGTATTGTATAAGTTGGATTACTACTAATAAGAGAGATCGCCAAGGTTAAAAAAAAGAAAGGGAAAAAAAAACCTACCGTCCCTAATTTTTCCAGGACTGAAACAGGAAACACAACATCTTTTTTCCGCGGCCTGATGCGGAAATTGCCCCACTTGCGTCACACACGACACAATGTTGGCGTATCCATTACATATAGAGGGATAACAATTAACATCCACAGGCATAGGGAGACATGCTAGGGGCATAGTGGAGTCATCCAAACCAGCAGCACACAGACTAGACACAACTCATCTTACACATCTGTACAAATAACAGGAACTACAGTACACTGTGCAGTGCTTTCTCACAAGTGCAGAAAAGACATTACATAATATCTATCGCAAATGTGAAAAGGTAAGAATTAAATAAAATCTCAGCCTGGAAAAAATTTGAACCAACGAGCATTAAATGCAGAAGTATGCTAGAAATGTATTGCTGTTTTTTTTAATGTGACTGTCACACTTTAAGTTTGTTTTACACATGTACCAATATACATGTCAGTGATACCAACCAAAATACTTGACTTCTGTTGGTGCTTTTGTAATGTTCAAATGACCATTAGAAAAGAAGCCAGTTTTTAATCCTTACATAAAAGCTGTATGGATGTTTAGCAAAATCGTGACTCTTTTATCTTTCTATGACATGCCACCAATTGTACTAGAGGAAGTATACAAGAACATTCATTTTCTGTAAGCAATACAGAGATGTTTTGACCTATAAAACAAATCTGTTTCTCAAATTCCAAAGGCAATCAAATCAATGCTATAGAGTAGGTCTAGCTTGTACTTCACTAATAAGTGGGAAAAACATGTCTGACATATAAAAACAATATTTACAATCAGTGGTTGTTTAGACTCCTCAATATTACTACAAGGTGAAAGTTTATTTTGAGGGTACAAACTGAAGTGTGACAATTTATTTAGTGAACTAGAGACTGCCCAGTGACTACAATACACGACAACAAGTTTTACTTTATACAAAACATGTACACTACTAGCGACCACACCATGTGTTACCTATTTACACACAACACAGCTGTAGCCTTGGCAGGGACAGTGGTGATTTTGGCATCACTAGAAAATGACGACTTTTCAGGGAGTATTTTATTGTTCCTCGTTTTCTGTACGATTCAACTGGGTAAGTACTAGAGGTTTGGTTGCACTCTAGTTCACATTCTTTGAACTTTCTGTTGCTACTCACTTTTAAATATGGGACTATAACTGTCTGTATGGACAGCATGTGTACATGATTTATATTAAACTAACCTGGATTGCATCTGATCTGGATACCATCTTTGGGAAGGGAGGCACTGCTTGTAGTAACTCTAGCTTCATATGTTGTACTTCATCTTCTACGATTGTTTATCTAGCCTGGATTCGAACTTATTTGAAGTCTGTGAATTTACCACCGACTGAAATAGATAGGTTTTATCCCTCAAAGTCAAACTAAATGTTTGTCTACCAACTCTGTTTTTTGCCAGGAAAACCTCAAGTTTGGAACCTCAATTCAATCACATTACATGATGTCAACATGAAACTGTCATTTTGATTTTAAAAAATTATAAAGATACATAAAAAACACCTACACACGACAGGTAATACCGTATAATACTGCTAGATAATTGTATCCTAGTGACTTGTACCTTGTATGTTACAAAAAGTCAATATTTTGGTGTTTTCTTCTTTGTTTTGTCCTCAATCTTAATGGGTAAAAGTGACCTGCTTATATTGAGTTAGGTTGATATTTGGTCATTTCTTGTGTACTAAACAGTCCATCTAAGTGGATCTGCAGGGCTAGAAATACGAAAACACATCCTAAACACTGATGAAAAACATTTGGGGACTGCAGAAAGTATTTCCAGCCCTGCATCCTTTGATTGGCAGGACTGGACATGTAATAAGTTTACTCACCAAAGTTATCAGTGGCCTGCAAAAATAGTCAGAATACCAACTCTGGAACCACTCTGATGCTATCACACCACCACAACACACAACACAAGCCATCATGTGGTGACAACAAACAAGAAATATATCATAAAAATCATCTGCTGTTTTCTCTGACAATATATTAATTTCAATACCAAGGTAAAATTGCAATTGCACAAATTAAACTCAAACTCATATTTTTCAAAGATTCATGATCATGGAATTAGAAATTCTTGAATCCAAGTGACTGGTCAACTGATTAGACTTTATTTTAATTAAAGAAGTCTAGATCGTATAATATGTTTCATAAAATGATTGAGGTTAACTAAGGTCAAGGTCAAAATGTCATAAAATAAATAAGTCAAGAAATACATAAAAATCTGCCACCCTTAAATTTAAAATGTCAATATGGTGTATAACTATTCACTTAATTTCTCAAACCAACTGTATGCAAATGTGGGTGAAATAAAAACGATCAGAGCAACGGTCCAGTCGATTCCAACAGGTCATCTAATTTCTAAGTCAAGGCTCTGCCCCTTGTTGCTAAAAATAGAACAGAACGCAGAACGCCATGTATAAATAAATCGCAACGTTCTTCACAAACTGTTGACAAAGATCTACATAATTTCCTACATTTCCGACGTTTTAAAAGCCACACAGCGAAAGTACAGTCGCTATTGGACATGTTTTGACAGGGGTTGTCGTCCTGGGCGGAGCTGTATGTTTGGAAAAGTGCCTTATAAAAACCACAGTGGATGGATGGGGAGGGGCGGGGAACGGGACAACAACATTCATATGCAAACCACAAACACGAGTGTACACAAACTGGGCGGTTTTGGCATGTGTGTGGCTACAACCAAACGATCAGCTGGGACAATACTGAGCAAAAACTGAGGGGAGCATGTAAAACCTAGAGGCAACATGCAACATGTCATCCTTTTCCCAGAAATCGTCCCACGGCCATCCAACACACAACATGCTGATGGTGGGAGTTTGCTTAGCACAAACGACGCCATACCAGTGTCGGCGGGATCTCCCCTCCTGGCCGCGGCTGCATTTCCCATCGTCTGAGGCTACTGGTTGAGCGACCCGGGATCAGATCGTCGCGATCTTCGGATAATTTCGGCGAAAATTTTCAATGGAAAGTAACAAAATACCAGCTCCGATTCCTGCTGACTGGGATGTGCCGACAGCCAAACAAGCCGTGAGGAAAACCAAACTGCACGGATCACTCCGCTATTCGTACTCCTAAAAACAAGCCAAACAGATCAGAGCCAGATAATCACCTTACACCTGTAAAATTTTGTTTTAAATTCTGTGTGACTTTTACCACGACAAGGAGTTAGTTTACAAGAAAATGTATATAAGATTGAGCACTATGTTGTGTCCTGCGGAATAACACGTTTTTCCTACAGGTGAAGCGCAAAAATGGCGGACGAGAGTATTATGGGATGGTTGCAGGTCTTGTCACGTGATCAGACACATCCTGCCCTCTGATTGGTCAGCGGGTGTTCATTCACATTGGGGTGCCAAGAGGGCGTGCATCTATTTTAAGCACACACTTTTGTGTTTGGGCTTCTAAAAATAGCCCACATGCACACAAGGCAAAGTCTAATGGGCGCCTTTGTTCAAATACATCGATGGCAACACATGACAACAACGGGGAATCATAAACATTGATGACTTTGGAGATCCAGTTGTTGGGCGTTCGTTAAAGATTGAAAGTTGTTACTAAAAAGGGTGAAAACAACCTACTAGTAACTAATTATATCTGCCCGATTGTCTGGAAATGGGTCAGTTGAAGGTGTCGGAAACAAAAGAATCAAAGGTAACCAAGCGATTACCGAATTAGGACACGGAAGACTCCAATTTCTCGGAAGAAGCTTTACTTTCTCTGTAAACGATACCCAGTTTACAAGAAGATAGACGATGGGTCCGTGGCAACGGAATGCCACTGAGTACTATAGAGTACTGTATTTATCCTCACAATCCGACAGGAAACAAGCTTCCTGAACTTCTACAATCCACAAAAAAACTTGGCACAATTGATAGAAAATGGGCTATAGAAATTCCTTGTAACAGAGCGAACTTTTTTTATACATACATGCATATGCATATGCAGTGACATTGAAGATAAACTGGACTATTATAATGGTAGAACGCCCATGCTTAAAGTTTGTTTGAACCTTCTACAAGCCACAACCAGACTTGGCACAATTGATAGAAAAGGGACTACTAGTACGTATAGAAAGTGTGCAAAGAGCGAACCACTTTCAATATATTATATACAGTGGCCGTGAAGATAGACTGGAATTAGCGTCCGCAACAGGCTTATAGAACTGGGGGTTTGGTGGTCTTCGGCTGTTTTCTGATTAGCCCAGTTCTAAAAACGGGGGTAATTCAACCAGGCCGGCTATGTTGTCTATATGCAATCAGAAAATAGCACATAAAAGATCCCAAAGACCCTGAAGACCCCCAGTTTTTGGCATGCTATGGATCCTAGACTGGAATAACGTACAACGAGCATACTTAAAGTTATGGTTATGGTTATGGTTTATTCATGAGTAGCTTAAATCGTCCGACAGGTCGCTCTTAATTGTTGAGGTCGTGAGGGACGAGCAGACAAAATATGTTAAATAGGTGCTAAAATTAGACATCATTATTGGTAGTTTTGAGGTGTGGCAGGTCGTTCAACTGTCAAACAACCGCTCGTACTGTAACCGTGAATATATAGGTAGCCTCCATAGCGTGCCCAAAACTGGGGATTTGGGGGGGTCTTCAGAGTCTTTGGGAGCTTTTATGTGCTATTTTCTGATTGCATATAGACAACATATCCGGCCTGGTTGAATTACCCCCTTTTTTTTAGAACTGGGCTAATCAGAAAACAGGACTAAAGTAGAACGTACGTGCATACTTTAACTTTAACTTTGTTTAAACCTTAAACTTATTCATGTGAAGCTCAAAGAGTCAACCTGCAGGTCACTTTTCATTAAGGTCATGAAGGAGGAAGTACTAGTAAGGGCCAGACAAAATATGTTAAACAAGGGCTAAAATTAGACATGATAATTATAGGTAGTTTTTAGGCGGGGCAGGTTGTTCAACTTTAAGTCCTGTAAGAGTGATGCAACCGGCAGCCTACATACGCTTGTGTGTCAAGGACGGTTACATTTACAGATACGGAAGCAGTCCTCACTTCAATATCTAGCCTCTATCAGGCTTCGGGAGGCGGCTGGACAGAGTAGAAAACGGCCAAATAGAGGGATAACATGCCAGGGGAGTTAGTCCGCGCTTAGAGAACAGTTTGCCGCACCCGAGTGTTCAGTTCTCTAAGCGCGGACAAACTCCCCTGCTGGCATGCTATCTCTTTTGTGGGTGGGGAATTGGACCTTCTCTGGCCAATGGATACTGCCTGGCCAATTTTATAAGTTGTCTTTTTGCCACCCTAGGATCTGCTTGGAGATTACTAGAAGATTTGGTGAGCGATTGATCGTTCAAAAGCGTCATCTAGCGAGACGTACTGTAACTGTAGCAATGTAAGGGCTACCTCCACCTTCCTCAAGTCAAGGACATAAAAACAAACTGAAGTCGCTCTCGGTGACAGAAGAATTCTGCCTATGCTAAGCTGTCTGGTGGGAGGGTTTTAAGTGACTTTAAGGCCCGAGGTTAAAGGCACATCTTCGTTTGATAAGTATTAGAGAAGAAATTCAAAGGAGAGCAACTAAAATCTGACTGATAACTTTCCCACAAATTAAAGTTGACGGGAAGCATAGTACAAAAAATGTAGAACTTAAACGCCAAATGAAAATTCAGAAACTGTAAATGATTGGCATCAATGTCTAAATCTTACCCATATTACCCATATTATACTAGTAGTTCACGATACGTTTCCAAATAAGAGAAACGTGTATGTTAATAAAGGATCTGATATGTACTTTAATTTTCACTACAATTAAAACGTTTCAAAGAACCAATGATCGATGTCACATGGTCGGCATTGCAACGGTACTATAAGTGGTTGCTACTGTCGTACCGTACCGTACAGTTCAGTTTACATTAATTGATCGTGATCTAGGATAGTTCCTTTGATCGCCGTTGTGACGTCTGTTTACATGACGTACTATCCACTAATAGACTGGTATCGATATATCAAAAGTCTCAGGCTTTGATCGCTGGTGTTTGGTAAATTCGCGATGTATTTGTGTTCATGAGAATCGGTACAGGAGGAACGTCACTGAGAAGCGTACGCTGCGGCGACGTATGATCATAAGAGTGCCGTCAACTCTAGTAGATCTGTGTCACCGCTAGTCCTTGTACACACATAATCTGCAAGCACTCGGATCATACGGTGGCAAGACAGTATCCATTGGCCACCAATAGCCACCAATGGACACTCCTCTGGCCAATGGATACTGTCTTGCCGCCGTCTGATCAGATGACTAGTAGTCCCTAACTCCCTGTACACACACACACACTGTTGCTGGCCTCACAGTTAATTTGGCGTGACGACACGCCGCCGACCCAGAACACGACCTTCCCCCATAATTCTCGCCAGAGAGAGGCACAGCAAAACAATCTCTTGTCCATCATCATGAAGAAAACACGGACCGCCTGGAGGAGGTTCTAATACATGCCACAAGGTGACTAGTCCGTAAACACACATCAATGGTCTAGAACCGGGCAGCTGACACACACGTAAAATGTATGGCCTTATTTTGCCAGGTTCTCATTGAATCAAACGATATTATATCTACATGTAATAGACGCTCAAACGAGTTTGGTACGTTGGCTTACCTTCTATCAAAGCCATCATCTAATCTTTGTTGGTAGGATCGAAGACAGAAAAGCATGCCCTGGATTCGAACCAGTAACTCCTGGTTTTAACGGGGTCAACCAACAAGTAGCAACGGCCACTGTGGCAGCCGCGCGGTCAAAGTTCCAGGGTCACCGTATCCGAGACTACTTTTAGCCTGGCGACCTCCATAACGAGAACGCAGAACTTTATTCCGAGTTCTCCCGTCGTGAATTATGCCGTGACGAGTTATTTTCGTCTTCCACGAATATCGGTCCCAGGCCCACCGTCTTGTCAAACTAGTCTGGATCGCCTGATAACAACCCGGTAGATACAGGAGGTTCCAAGTAGATCTTTCGGTGGCATGTAAAATCGTAACTAACCAACAAGACACCACCCAATATACAAAGCTTATCCAAATGGCCAGTAAGAATTGGGACGCACCGGTTGTAAGAAAACGGTACATAGAAGAACGCGACAGTCCTCCTAACCAACTTCTGCGGAGAGTAACTATAGATTTATGTCCTCTTTGACTCAAAATAATTCAAAATTCCTTGCCGTAAGCCAAAAAGCTGTCAAACGGACCTGCCGAGTTATTCACGACTTGCTTGTCAAACTTTAATTTTGAGAGAAAACAATGGTTAAGACGTTTGCCCCTACAAACGAACTTTACTTAAACCAGCCCTGAGCTTTTAAGTTTCACTGCATGAAAAGTTACATACGAGTGAAGAAACGGAACGTTTACGAATGCTTTAGGTGGTGCTAAAAGAATGTATTTTTTTTGCAGTATTTCGCTCTCGATTCATATCTTTAATAGACTCCTTTGGGAGTTAAAAGATAAAAAGAAAAAGCCATAGCCTGCAACAGGCCTTCCTAAGGGGCTAAGATACTAGAAATTCCACCAAGGCCTTCCTAAGACGTTACAGTATGTACGACAGGTGGTCAAAAAAGGGTCCAATTATTGGCCAGGAAAGTGATCATATGTGGTACAGCCGTACAGGTAGCATTTCTCGAATCTTTTTTTCTTACGCCAGCCAATGCACCTGATATTGTCATATGGTGCATATAATATTTTTATACGCAAGCCAATTGACGCTAGTACTGCCATGCCAATTTGATACTACAGTACTGTACATGCAGTAACCACCAAAAGGTCATTTTTACGCCAGCCAATTGGTGTATTGGATACTGCCCTTCCAATGATACTGTCTTGATTGTGATACTGTCTTGCAGCTACCAAAAGGTCTGCTTGGAGACTACGCACCACGTTAGCCTACAGCCCAGCCTTGTTACCTTCGCCAAGAATTGACGAAGGTTATGTTTTCCTGGCCGTGTGTGTGTGTGTCTGTATGTGTGTCTGTCAACAGCATAACTTGAGAAAGCTCAGATGGATTATTTTGATATTTGGTAGGTGGGTAGGTCTTGATGAGACCCAGAAATGATTAGATGTTGGACCCCCTAGCGGCTTGTTATGGTACTGCAGCTAAAATTCCGGTTTTGATATCTCATGATTTAGTTAGCTTTAGTCCGGACAGTCAGGCTCGGACAGTGGGACAGTACTAAGT